CATTAACCCTTATAAGAATAATGATAAACATTTCTAAAAACATATTTTATATTTATTATGTTGAATGGCAAATACTGAGCTTCTCTCCTGTATGACTTGGATCATTGTCTGTAACACTTGCACTCAGCCATCGGGAGCTCTCTGTGCAAGTCTGCTACTGCCCTGTGCAAGTTCCCACAGGGCCTCTTCTCCGAGTGCTGCACATGCTCGTCCCCACTTACCATGACAGACACACCCCTCCTGCCTGCTCCCTTTCTTTAACAACCGCCCCCCCCCCCCAATTTGCTTCTGTATCCTGGGAAATAAAAAAAAGTAAAACTGTTTAAAATTGTCTAAAATTGGGAGGAATTTGAAGACTGTTATTAAAGCATGTGCTTTTAATGTAAAGCCTTTGTAGTTGTCTATTTAGTTAACATACTGTTACTAATTTCCTCATTTTTTCCCCTGTGTTCTAGAGGTATTTTAGAATGTTTTATCTCTTCCTTGAAAAATACATGTGGGGTTTGATTTTTAGTGACTAAAGTGATATAAGAAATTAAAGAAATTTTGGCCAATTACTGCAACAGATAGGTATCTCTTGTCTTTCTGAGCTCTTGAGATGCTTTGCAGCTTTAGTGGATAGATAATTGTGACACCAAAGGCTCTTAGAAATTTCATTTGACCTCTAATAAGCCTTAATGTTTATCATATTTGGGAACTAGATAATTTCAATTCATAGCCACACACTTTTTTAACAGGTATACTAATGTCTACATTTGTCCCATTGGATTTTAAACTCTGAGGATTCATTAAAATTGATCATTAATTAATTACTTCATAATAAATTTTTTTGCTATGATATAGATAAAACAATCCATTTATATAGTATCTTCTATAATTATTAATTTAGGTAATAAAATTAGTTGTGACATGGAAAATTTTATGTACCATAGCTTTCCTAAACCAGTTTTTAATGTGATTAGCAATGAATTAGCAAAAAGTCAATTTATTTACATAAATTAGCATATTTAGTTATGGCTTTTAAAACATAAATTTTTTATATGAAGTTATAACTCATGACTTGTAGTTCTAATAGTATAGTGAAATATACACATGTGGGTGCCCCTATAAAAAATTCCAACCTTCTGAACTTAGAACATGTTGACTTCAATATTTCGTTAGCCTAGATTCTAAGGCCGTCACCATAATTTACATGTTATTGAAAATGAAGTTAAATTTTTTCTTATTTATCAGGATAACTTCAGTTTTGAGGAATGTAAATCAATTCATAGCTGGCTAAAAACCAGTTTTTCCTTTGCTTTAACTCCAGTGCACACATGAAAAGTGCACTCACTTCCAAAGTGCCTTGTGAATCTGCAGTGATTAATTCTTCTCATTATTTTGCTGCAGATTCTCATGACCCTCTCTGATGATTCGATCAGCCACTTAGAGTTTATGCATATTCATGTCTCTGTGCTCCTGCTGCAGTCATTCACGTCTCCTTCACTGACTGGTGTGTTCTTGGTGCAGTAATTGAGCTGCAGTAGATTGATTACTCTGGGGAGCTGTAAGGCCTTTAAAGGTGAAAACATATCAGTCCTGTTAATTAGGAAACAAAAGCTCTGGTGGCAAGTTCAGCAGTCAAATATTTCCAGTGTAGAAAAGACGAATGGTATGATTTGTTCCTCTCCATGAATCCTGTTTACTTTTCAAATTTTGAATTAAGTCTGTATCAGTGGTAGTTACAAGTAGATTTCTTTTTGAATTTTCATAGACTGTTAATTAGAGGACCTGACTTATTAATACTATTGTGATCTCATATCTGTTAATTTAAAAACACCTTCCATAGAATTGGCAATGTTTATGTAAAATATTTTAATATTTTGTATAACTATAGAATGTGGATTAATTTTGTTATTTAGAGACTTAATTTGGTTACAATATTCTAACTAATTTTCTTTAATTTTTTCAGTATATTTTATTAATTATTCTATTACAGTTGTCACATTTTTTCCTCCCCTTTATTCCCTTCTGCCCTGCACCCCCCCATCCCACCAGCATTCCGCGCCCCCTTCTCCCAGCTTAGTTCATGTCCATGAGTCGTACATAAAAGTTCTTCGGCTTCTCCATTTCCTATACTATTTATAACATCCCCCTGTCTATTTTGTACCTACCATTTATGCTTCTTATTCCCGGTACCTTTTCCCCCGTTCTCCCTCCTCCTCTTCCCTGCTGATAACCCTCCATGTGATCTCCATTGCTGTTACTCGGTTCCTGTTCTAGTTGTTTGCTTAGTTTGTTTTTGTTTCTGTTTTAGGTTCAGTTGTTGATAGTTGTGAGTTTGTTGTTATTTTACTGTTCATAGTTTTGATTTTCTTCTTTTTCTTAAATAAGTCCCTTTAATATTTCATATAATAAGAGCTTGGTAATGATGAACTCCTTTAACTTGACCTTATCTGGGAAGCACTTTATCTGCCCTTCCATTCTAAATGACAGCTTTGCTGGGTAGAGTAATCTTGGATGTAGGTCCCTTGCCTTTCATGACTTTGAATACTTCTTGCCAGCCCCCCTCTGGCCTGTAAGGTTTCTTTTGAGAAATCAGCTGATAGTCTTATGGGAACTCCTTTGTAGGTAACTATCTCCTTTTCTCTTGCTGCTTTTAAGCTCCTCTCCTAATCCTTAATCTTGGGTAATGTAATTATGATGTGCCTTGGTGTGTGCTTCCTTGGGTCCAACTTCTTTGGGACTCTCTGAGCTTCTTGGGCTTCCTGGAAGTCTATTTCCTTTGCCAGATTGTGGAAGTTCTCTTTCTTTATTTTTTCAAATAAGTGTTCGATTTCTTGCTCTTCCTCTTCTTCTGACACCCCTATGATTTGGATGTTGGAGCATTTAAACTTGTCCCAGCGGTTCCTAAGCCTCTCCTCATTTTTCTGGATTCTTGTTTCTTCATTCTGTTCTGTTTGAATATTTATTTCTTCTTTCTCATTCAAATAGCTGATTTGAGTCCTGGTTTCCTTCTCTTCACTGTGGGTTCCCTGTATATTTTTCTTAATTTCACTTTTTGTAGCCTTCACTTTTTCCTTTATTTTGCGACCATACTAAACATTTTCTTTGAGCATCCTGATTACCAGTGTTTTGAACTGTGCATCTGATAGGTTGGCTGTCTCTTCATCACTTAGTTCAGTTTTGGGTTGTTTTTTTTTTTTGGAGTTTTGATCTGTTCTTTCATTTGGGCAATGTTTCTTTATCTCAGCACACCTGTGACATTGTAAGGGGTGGAGCCTTAGGTATTCAGCAGGGCAGGGCACCTACATCAACTGCATTGTGGTGCTGTACGTGGGGGAGGGGTCAGAAAGGGAACAATGCCACTTGCTCAGTTCTCGCTCAGCTTTCGGTCACTTTCCTCCCTACCCACAAGCAAACTGGGCCTTTCTGGTGCTGAGGGTGGGTGGGTTTTAGGACCCCGGAGGTCTCTCTAACAAACATTCCTGTGATACTGCTGCAATCCCCACAGTTTCTTACAGCCAGAGGTTTTGAGGCTTTCATGCTAGAGCCCTGGGTTTCCCTGACTGTCTCTCTCATCAGTTGTTTTTCCCAGTTTATCCACATGCAAGTGTGGGACCGCAAGCCGCCACCTAACCTGCCCAGTCCTCCAGCTGCCACCTTGCCTTGCGTCCTCTCCACCCCAGCTGCCTGTCTCTGCCTCTCTTACCAGTCTGGATGAATGTTTCTTCTTTAATTCCTTGGCTGTCAGACTGCCATACAGTTTGATTTTCTGGCAGTTCTGGTTGTTTTTTGTTTTTAAATTTGTTGTCCTTCATTTGGTTGGCCGAGGAGGCAAAGTGTATCTACCTATGCCTCCATCTTGACTTGGAAAGCCTACCCTACCACTAATTTTTTTTGTCAGTTTAGTAGTGTGCTGTATGGGGAAAAGGGTGAAACTTTATTCAACATGGCGTAGACGTTGAGCTGCCATTTTATCTCCTTATCATAAGCATCCTTTTGATTTTTTTCCCTCTGAAACTGTATATTAAAGAATGCATTGTCCTGGCAAGAAGGATTTTTTGTGGAACAGTAACCACCAAAAGTAAGCTAGTTTCAACATGAAAGTTAATGCAGTTATATATCTAGTTGACATGTTTTTCTCATGTGTTCTGTTCTTACATTATGGTATCCCCCACCCTGTCATACATTTTTCTTTTGAAATGTAATTCACATACCATAAAATTTACCCTTTTAAAGAGTACAAGTCAGTGGGTTTTAGTATATTCACAAAGTTATGCAACCATTACCACTAGTTCCAGAGTATTTTTATCATGCCAAGCAGAAACCCCATACCTGTAAGCAGTTATTGTACAACCCCCACCTCCTTCTCTTAACCCCTGACAACAAGTAATCTACTTTTTCTCTCTATGAATTGACCTCTGCAAACATTTCATATAAATGGAATCATACTATATGTGGTACTCCATGCCTGGCTTCTTTTACATGACATAATGTTTTTAAGGTTTATCCATATTTAGCATGAATCAGTACCTTTTTTTTTTTTTAATGGCTGAATAAAATCCATTTATGGCTATACCACATTTCAGTTTTCATTCATCAGTTGATGAACATTTGTGGTGTTTTTACTTTTTGGCTATTTATGCTAATAATACCAATGAACATTCACATACGTTCTTACTCTGTTCTTGATCTTAGGGGGAAAGCTTTCAGTCTTCACCACTGGGTATGGTGTTAATTGTGGGTTTTTCGTAGATGCTATTTATCAGGTTGAGGAAGGTCCCTTTCTACTTTGCTGAGTGTTTTTATCATGAAAGGTGGTTGGATGTTGTCAAATGCATCTTCTGCATGTATTGAAATGATTATGTGGTTTTTGTCCTTTATTCTGTTACTGTGGTATATTATACCAGTTGATTTTTCTTATGTTTAACTTTATGATATTCTATAGAGCTTTTATATAATGTTTTACTATTGTGGTTTTAAATAACTTGCATCGATTTCTCTACCTTATATTTCAGGCATTTATTAATACAGCAAAAGAAATTTATGAAAAAATCCAAGAAGGAGTCTTTGACATTAATAATGAGGTATAGACATATAAAAATATTGACTAATATTTATTTTTTCTACTTTTTTCATTATCAGTTTGTTGTTCCACTCATTTATGCATTCATTGGTTAATTCTTGTATGTGCCCTGATGGGGAATTGAACTTGCAACCTTGGCATATTGGGATGATGCTCCAACCAGCTGAGTTGCTCATCTAGGACTTAAGCTTTTTTTTTTTTTTTTTTTTTTTTTCAAGTACAATTTTCATATAGTATTATTTTGTATTAGTTTCAGGTGTACAGCATAGTGTTAGATAGTCATATACATGAATTTTAATTACTACATGGATTCATGATTTTATATTTTTTAATTCCTAAAATGGATATGTGGTTTCAGTTAACACATTAGTTTCTAATCGTCTATCTGAAAATTTGTTGGATGTTCTGTAATAGTTAAATGTTTATGTCCTAGTAGAGCATCACTTTCTCTGTGCAAAAAAATTAAAGTAAGTGACCCTATCCATTTATTGTAAGCAAAGCAAAATAATATAAACCCTCCAAAGAGAAGGAAATCCATTTTCATCCACATGTCCATATGGTATCATCTGCTTTGGGGAATAATTTTCTAGTTGTGTAAATGCATGTACTATGTCACTAATGCAAGATGCTCCCTGTTGTCTGGTATGAAAGTGGGAAATACCCAATTTGGAAATTACTCCCAGTATAGCATAGCATATTTTCAGGAAACTCAATTAATATATGTAATTGACAGTTGGCACTGGTTTGGTTTTCTTACGGTTTTTTGTTTTTGTAAAATTATTTTGAGCCTGTTTTGATCAACATGATTAAGATAAAATGTAAAGCTTTGAAGCATGTAAGTCAGAGTGTTTACCAGTGGTCATCATTTTTACTGTGTGGATGGGTATAGCATATTATTTACTGTTACATAAACATTTTTTCTGTTCTATATTAAGACTCGTGGCTTCCAAAAGAAAAACTCTTATTCCCCCCCCACAACCCCCTGCCATCGCTGTTAGGAAAGCATTGTGTTAGGGAAGCCATGGCATATGTGTCTCTTGGCCAGTACATAAATGAGGCTCTTTATTATTTGCCTCAATAGTCTTTGCTAAAACTAAACAACAGTTTGCCTAAGTTTTCCAGGAAGTACTTGTTTTCTCATTTGTTTTAATTTGGAGTATTATGGTTTCTAAATCCTATCTTCTAGGCTTATATGGCAGTAGATCTTGAGTTAATTTAAAGGCGACACCATTCAGAGACTAATGCCATATAAATTGAACAGTAATTGAGCCGCTATGTAAAAGCGCACATTCATTGTTTCTGTCTGGTTTCATATAGTAGCTGACTGCTGTACTGTGCCTGGTGCAGCTTTGATTGTAATGTGCTGTCAGGAGCCAACAGGCCGTGCGATTTATTTGGCCTAATGCCAAGTCTGACTCCTTGATTCCTCAAGAAGTTGCTACCAGCCCAGAGGGGGCAAAACCAATGAGCCATAGGGCATGCTTTTTATTAAAGAGGAGTCAAAAGAGCGAAAAGAAACCACATCAGCTGCTGTCAATACTGAGCTAGTGCCAGAAACCCCAAGGCTACTACTGTTGCAGAACAACTGCCAAGCACTATAAATCTGAGATTTACTGTGACGTAAAGTTTCCTTAAGAGCTTAATTTCTGAAGCTACTGTATTACTTTTCTCAAAGTGTTGTATTTTTAGGTAAAATCCACTTGAGGGAGTGAGGGTTAAGACATAAGTGTGAGTTTGATGAATGAAAGAACTGCTCTGTGTGTGGGTTCTTGGCAAGCTGCCATGTCTTTGGGGATCATAGAAATTATTGATGACACAGAACACTCGTATGCCCTTAGCCTGTACAGCTGATTCAACATGGAAGAGAAATGCTGTCTAGAGAAAAGGTTTGACATTGTATTAGGGCAGCATAGGCTTTACATACTTTTATCCTTTAAAGATGACTTGCAATAATTGTTTTAAACATTTTCTCCATTGTGAAAATTCCCTGAAAAGCAGCACCTCTCTAGTTTCTGTTTATCCAGGACCTGGTATGATAATTATTTTCAGAAATATTTCCACAATATTGCTTCTAAATAGAAGAAAGATTCCCTAAAAGAGATTTTTGAAATTGTTGGAGAACTCTCCTTAATATTTTTCTGAGTTGTTGGTAAAATTGTATCATTAAGAATTAAATGGATTTTTATTGGATCCAGTTACATTTATTATCTTTTTGTCTTCTGTTCCAGGCAAATGGCATTAAAATCGGCCCTCAGCACGCTGCTACTAACGCCACACACGCGGGCAATCAGGGAGGGCAGCAGGCCGGGGGAGGCTGCTGTTGAGTCTGTTTTTACTGTCTCGCTGCCCGAACGGGGCCTACTCACTATTTCTTTCACCCTCTCCTGCTCAGCTGAGACATGAAACTATTCTAAATGGCTTTATGTCACAGAAGACTTTAATCTTTCAAATTCTTGTATAACTTTGAATAAATGGTTAATGTTCACTTAAGAAGACAGATTTTGGAGACTGTATTCATATCTATTTGCATTTGATTTCTAGGTCAATTGATGTGATTATTTTTGTTAAATGTTGTCTTGTGCCCTTACCTATGAACTGAATTATATTAAACACTACAAAGTCATCTTGAGTATTTTAAATCGGTTTGTGTAGTTAGGTTTCCCAACATCTGTGGTTACCTAATGTTTAACATTGGAACTGTCCTCAAAAGGTTTGTCAGTTTTCAAGGCTATAGGGAAAAACAGAAGGATTCTTTTAATTCTGTATTTATCATTTACTTTCTGTATATATAGTTTAATAACCTGCTTGGGTGTACTTTGCCAAGCTTGAATTCATTAATGCATTTGCATAAACTCTAAACTGTTTAGAGCTTAAAGCTACCGAAGCATTGTTAGAAATTGCTTGGACACTGAATTTTAAACTTTTTGACATTGTTAGCAAGCATGTTCATCTTTTCTTGTCACTAGTCCAAGAAAAATATGCTTAATGTACATTATAAAGGCTATATATGTGTTAACCTGTTTTGATGCCAAAAGTTTGCTATTTGTCCACAATTTCTTTAAGACCTCTTCAGAAAAGTATTTGTTTGCCTTAATGAACACTGTTGGGTAACAACACAGTATAATGAATGAAATGGGCAGAAGCAAGAACTCCAGACACCTAAGCGACTCCAAGAAGAATGAATGTCCACATTTAAATGGCAAATTATGAGGACTTTAATTTTTCCTTAAACACTTTTTTTTTATTCACATGATTTCTAAGTATATTTTTCATGCAGGACAGTTTTTCAACCTTGATGTACAGTGACTGTGTAAAATTTTCCTTTCAGTAGTAGCCTACGATATTTAAAATATGGTAAGCATCTTGTCTGTTTTGAAGGGGATATGACAATAAATCTACATAATGGAAGATCCTGTTAAAAAGTAGAAAAGCTTTAGTAACTTACTCAGTGTGGTGGTTTTATCTTTTTTTTTCTTTTCCTTTCTTGGTCTATAATGAAATTGTTATAGCAGTGCAAAATAAAATCCTATGTATAAAATTGTTCTTTATTATGAGCACATCATTTTTTAAGTGTATTTTTTTAGTCCATCTACACCTTTTACATATGTCTAAGCATTTTTTTAAAAGGGTCAGAATGTTTAATGCCCTTTTTTATTTTTATTTTTCTAAAGATTGTATTTAATTAATTTTAGAGAGAGGGGAAAGGAGGGAGAAAGAGAGAGAGAAACATTGATGAGCAAGAGAAACATCAAAATCAGTTGCCCCTCGCGAATCCTCAGCCAGGACCTGGCCTGCCTCCCAGGCTTGTGCCCTGACTAGGAATCCAACCAGAAACGTTTTGGTCTGCTGGGGACCAGCGCTCAATCCACTCAGCCACACCAACCAGGACAATGCCCTTTTTTAAAATGTGATGAAACTCTTCACAATATTCAAAGTATTTTCGTTATTGTTGATGTAAACAATATTTTCTACTTCTCAACCAGCACAAAAGCACATTCAAACCATAAAAAAGCTTTATGAAGAAATCCTAAGGGTGAAATGCTTTCAATTTATTCATGACTTCAACTTTGTATATAGGTCCTCCCTGAATGTTTAGCATTGCTCTTTTAAAGCTTTAACATGACTCTTGTGCCAAGTCACCTCTCTTGGTTTTGTTTTACCTTGTGCCTGGAGTGCAGAGGGAAAGGTGAAAGGAAATGGAGTTTCTTGAGTGTTTTTATTATAAACTTTTTTCGTTAAAGTGATCATCCTAAAACCATTGATCTTACCATTCACTCTCTTTAGTGATGAATAGAAAAAAGTTAAGGCAACTTAAGATTTGTTCTGTCAATTTGTTACACCAAGAAGAGGATGATTCTTTGGATATTGTTTTTAAACTGCTGTTAGCTTTTCCAGAAGTTTAATGTGTTTCTTTTCCATGCTGTCTAGCCTAATTCTTTTATAAATCAAGTATAAGAAAGGCAACTAATGTTTTAAAAAAGAGACAAACCAGTACATGTACTATAATATCCTAAGAAAAGCTGGAGTCCTCATACAGCTCCTACCACAACCACCTTCACTTGCCTCTCCTCAAGCCTGGGGAGCAGGGGGTGAGTCGTTCGTGGACTTCTCTAGTTTATTACCACTTTCTGTACATACCTCATCTACTTATGTCAGTTTACAAAGCAATGTTGTCTGCTTTCTACTCTTGCTCATTTTATTATTCCTATCACAAATAATGTATTGCTATAACAGTGGCACTTGTAATTGAATCTTTAATACTGTAATTGAATCTTTAATCTTTGATTAATTTTTGTAGCATCATACGGATGTTTTAAGAGCTAAAAACTCAGTCACTAAAAAAAATAAATATAACTTTCAATGCCTCAACATGTAACATTCCAAAGTTGTAATCTTCCTAAAGATAGTGGTGTTTGTCTTCTGAATTTGAGACAACTAAATGGAGAGCAGGTTTTTGAAAGAGTAGCATATAATTAGATAAATAATTCAGTAATACAGGGTGGGGCTAAAGTAGGTTTACAGTTATAAGTGTACAGTTTTGTTACTGTATTATTTTCCAAATAATACAATAATAAGTAATTATTAAACCTACTTTTGACTCACCCTGTATATAGGAACTTAATCTTGGTACATTGTTTTTTATTTTATAATAGCCTATCAGCAGGAAAAATGTCCCTATTTAACTTCTAATAGTCAAGAGGGTAGGAATGTAAATAATAACCAAAATATGTCTAACTGCTCAAAAAATAATTTATGTCTGGCTTTGGAACATATTAAACATTGATTCTCTCATAGGTAGTGAAGCCCCATCTGGACTCAATAATAAGGTTGACAGGGTAGGTTTGACTATATGAGCTTGCATTATTTAATACAAGAAGAAAACCATAATAATGAAAAAAGATAATCCTGTTTCATAACAAGAATTGACTATACAAATAGACAAACCAACATATCTACCTGTGTTTCTCAAAGTTTATATGTACTTCGTGTTCAAAGGAAAATAGAATCTAACTTACAACAGCATCTCATATTGCATAGGCACATACTAGAGAATGGTCTGTACTTGGTTGGAGTCATTATGGGAAATTTTTAAAGTGCCAGTGTATATATTCAGTGTTTACTAGCTTTACAAAATCATGAGGCCAACTTTTTTTAATTAAGATTTTATTTACTTATTTTTAGAGGGGAGGGAGGGAGGGAGTGCAATGTCAATGTGTGATTGCCTCTCAAGCGCCCCCTGCTGAGAACTTGGCCCGCAATCTAGGCCTGGTGCCCTGACTGGGAATCCAACCTGCGACTGGTGTGCAAGACCGCACTCAATCCACTGAGCCACCCCATCCAGGGCCCAACTCTTAAAAACTGAAGAACAAAGGACCAAAAACCTAATAGGAAAAAAAATGGAAAAAGATGGTCAATTCACAAAAAAATAATACAAAAATATCCCTGAAATACATTTTTAAAATTCAAACATACTTGGAGAAATGCAAATTAAAACATACTATTTCTCACCTATGAGAGTAGAAGAAATTTAATAAAAGTATGGCAGCACATTGTTAGTGAAACACTCATATTTCGCTAATGGAAATACAAATTAGTATTGCCTTTCTGAATAAAAATGTAGCAGTACCTAATAAAACCAAAATGCACTTTCACCTGTCATGTCAGCAATCCCACTTGTAGGAAAATACCCCAATGATACCGCCAACATTGCAAAAGCACATATGCACAAGACTGCTCATTGCAGTGTTGGTTGTAATTGCAAAATAATGAACTAAATGTTAGGAGCACTCTCCTTATAAACTGGTAAATTCACACAGTGGAATCCTTCACCGCTGTAAAAAGTATGAGGAAGTTCTATGAACTGTCAGGATTTGTAGGATATACTGTTGTGAGAAATGTAAAGTACAAGAGAGTCTACAGTTTACCATCTTTCGTGTAATAAGGCAGTGTAAGAAAATGTACATCTAACTGCTCATCTCTGCAAAGAAACAACAGAAACTAATGATACGGGTTACCTACAGAGAGTGGGTACAGAGTGGAAAGTGATCAGGAATGGGGTGGGTATTTGGGACGAGTGATACATCTCTCAGGTGTACATTTTTGTTTAGCTCTGACTCAGAACCATAGTAATGTTTCACATACTCCAGCTATAATGTGCAGGGAACTCGACATGAACTACAAACTAATCAATAAACTTACCTGTGTTAACAATAAGTGAATTACCACACTGACAGAGCAGCAAAGAAAACCAGCATACAACCAGCAACTTTGGAAAACAGGATTTTGACTATAAGGCTAAAGATAAAATGAACTATAGACAAATAGTATAGTTAGTAAAGGGGGACTGGGTTAGCCCTTCTAAAAATACCGTTTCCTATTAAGATTGAGCAAATAAATATATTGCGGGTAATGAAAGCTGAGATCCTCACTGAGAAACGACTTACAAATAAAAGTTGGGAAAGGCACAAATGAACCCCGTGGTGTTGGGTTGGAATTGGAGATGTTAGGAACCTGAGGTTTTTATATATACAGATGGGTGGGGAAATACAAATAGATGAGTTTGTGAGTACACATATAGATAGGGTCTAAAAGCAGAGACACCCCAGTAGCAATGAGCCTACCTAGTACTCAGATACTGATTTCTAAAATACCAGTCTCTTATAAAAGGAATTAGGGCTCCTTGGAGGGATGGTTGACTATAGGGCTGGGGCAGAGAAACTAGAAAATGAGCCTGAAACATCTATGATGCCAAAAAAGTGAAGTATTGTAAAATGAGAGGAGGAGGCATATGTCAAAGGACATAGGAGCCAACTTGTTGCTTCTCAAGGCCAAATTTGGGACAATTTGAAAAAATAACAAGTTAGTAATGGATTATGAACTGTGGGATAAAATATCCATGATACAAATAAGGGGAGTCGAGCCAGCTTTTCCTTATAGGAGAACACCAATTAGTAGAGACAGAAGTCATGATGTATGAGAAAATTACCAAACAC